GGAGTTCTCCAGATAAAAGGTCCAGTTGGATCATGCTACAGTGAGGCCAGTCCATGTGCTCACAGCCTCCATTCACCGAGTATTCCCTGGCCGGACAGCCTCTGAGACAGCAGAGACCTTCCTTCCTGCTATTCACACCCTTTTACAGTCCTCTCCCTTTGTGAGTGGGCTGAGCAAAAATGCTGAGGTTACCTTGAAGATGAGGTTTGTAAAGAGGCAGCGCCTCTGTCTTGTCCTCTCTTGCTTCCTTGCTTGCTTACTCTGGAGGAAGCAAGCAGCAAGGTTGTAAACTGCCCGTGCTAAGGCCTAGGTGGTAAGGAGCCGAGTGAGGGAAGCCTTTAGCCCACAGCTGGTAGGAGCCAGGTCCTCAGTCCAACAGTCTTCAGGACACTGAGTCCCGCCAACACCATGTTTCTATGGAGACTATTTCCACACATGATCGAAAGTAGAGGAAATAGTGCGACAGAATCTGATTAATTCATCCTTCAGATCCTCCCACTTATCAAGAGGTTCTATTTTTTGCCAAATTTGTTTCTTTTGTCCCTTTTCCTTTGAGTTTTTAAAGTAAACTCTAAACATGCCATATTAACCTTCATATACTTTTTGTGTATCTAAACAAAACAAAACAAAACACTTTCCTTGCTTCTTTTTCAATATAAGCAGACAACCAAAGATTACCAGACATCTGATGACAATTCCTACCATAGAGGACAGAAACCGACGCCAAAAAAAGGCAACTCAGAGCAAGGAGATGAAAATCCCAAGATCAGAGTGGCTTTTACAGCCATGAAACAAGATCAAGCTGTTGTAAAAGTAATAAAAAACCATCTGAGTACATTTAAAATGATAGCAAACATGAAAAATAGAGCTAAAAGAAATTCCATGGAAAGCACTTGCGGAAATAGAAAATGAGAAAATGGAAGGGCCGGGGTAGGAGGTCCAATATCTCTGTCCCACTCAAATAATTGAAGTTCCACAAAAGAGATGACAGAAAATGAAGGGAAGGAAACTATCACATAGAGTTTCAAGAGAATCCCTTCAAACCAAAGGATTTTATTTTGCAAATTAAAAGAGTCTATCAAGTAACTACTATAGTGGGTGAAATTTTAAGATACTTGAGAGAAATAAAAGATCCCTATAAGCTTCCAGCGAGGAAAAGGTAATCCACCTACAAAACATAGAAATCAGAATGTCATGAGATTTTCCACAAGACTAGAAACTGGAAGGCAGCATGACAGTACCTTTCCATTCTCAAAGAAAGTGATGACCAATCTTGATTCCACTCAGAGCCAAATATCAGTTAGGCAGAAGAGTAGGATAAAGGCATTTTTCCAACATGCAGAGTCTCAGAACAGTCACTTTCTAAAGAAGTTACAAAAGGTTAAAACCAAGGAGGAGAAAGGCAAGAGCAGAGGTGCAAATAGGCTCTTGAGAACCTCAGCGCCAGCCGTGTACTGTGTATCAGGTACTGCCAGTCCAGATCAGAGTAGGTCAGAAAGCTCTGGGAGACTGCTTCCAAAGGGAAGATCTACATCCTACTCACACCTCTCTTTTGAGATTAGACAACTGGGTAAGTATTTGGTGTTAAAGTTAGTGATACAAGGTAGAAAACTAAGCAAATGAAAAAACAGGGAATTATTAACTTCAAGGATTGGAGGAAAAAGATGGACAGTTTAGCAAAAAAATTGAGGTTTACTGTAGAGCTCTATTGTGAATGACATTTGCATAGTTGTAATAATGTGACCATGGAATATTGTTCTACCATAGTTATGGTGTATCAGGAGATTGCATGGTGAAAGAGTTCATGGATATCACTTATACTGGGGGAGGAAAGAACTCACTCTCCATTACCATATGAGAAGTTAACAAATAAGACCTAATTATTGAAAAGTGAAGAAGTATAATAAAATAAGCAAATCCTTTAAAGATAGATAGAATAAATATTTTATTGAAAACCAGTTACCTCCAGGAAGTGGTTGTTGGAATAGTGGTGGAAGGAGAGGGTAAAGAGTGCTATTTTTTAAAAACAGAAAAATCATTTGATTCATTAAATTATGTGCATGTATGACTTTTTAAAAAATAATAATGCAATCATCAGCTGGTGAGGAATGTAATGACAAAGTGAGTGTATCAGAAAGAGGCAATTTTGGAGTGGGTTGGGAAGAAAGCCATTTGAGCAAATCAAATTTGAGGCACAGACGAACTGAAAAAAGAGGATCAGCCACAAAAGGATCTGGTAAAGGAAGTTCCAGGCAGAGTGAACAGTAAGTGCAAAGGGCCTGAGGCAAGACAGTTTAGTGAACTGTTCATAGAAAAAGGGAAGAAAGAAGCAAGGAGTAGGGCTCAGAGGGATTGAAAGATGAGCATGGACAGATGGACAAGTGCCAGGTTATGCAGAGTTTTACTGGCCCTGGGAAAGGTGGTTGGGATTTTATTCTAAGGGTCATGAGAAGTGTTAAAATAGAAGGATGGATTTTTGCTTTGAAAGTATTTTGAGGTTTAAACATATATCTCCATGATGCCAGACATTAAGTGCTTTGTAGGTATAGTATTGAACTCATTTAGTTCTCCTAATAACATGATGGTGTAGGCGCTGTTAGTTCTGTTTTTTCCTAGTGAAGTAGCATCACACAATACCAGGCCAGACTTCAAACTCATAGACCCTGCTGCCTCCCTGGAGACCTCTTTGTTTGGTCCAATGGAGGATGGAGACTATATATAGTGATTCTCAACCTTCACCATGCTTTGCAAGCACCCGAAGAGCTTTAGAAAAAAAGAGGAGACCTCATAGCATTGGCATCTTTAGAAACTCCTCAGGTGACTAAAATGCATTCAGGAAAAGAGTTATCAGTCTGGAGATTTTCTAAGATTCATGATTTTTCCACACACTTTGCTTTCTGCCATGGGCCATTGGGCCTTGGAGCAGTGAGGGACAGCTCTTGGTTACTCTTTGGCTTTCTATTGCTTTCTCAGAGCTCAGGTATTTCATCTCTTGCATCCCCATCCTTGACAGCCCAAGTTTTTCATGGGTCTGCATTCTGCTGTTATATTTCTGTCACCTTTCTTTTCTCAGAACTTGGTGGTCAGCTTCCACTTCCCTCCTCAACTTTCTATACCAAATGCCTGCACACTGTGACATGAATTGTGCTTCCTGACCTCTTTTCTCTTCCTCAACGAGGTAACAGATCAGTGGGGAAAGAGAGTATGCATCCTGTTAGTAGTCCCAAACAGGGGCTAGAAGCCTGTGTGCTGAGATCTTACAAATGTTGATTCACATGTCTGAGTCTCAGTTCTTTTTCTGGCTAATTGGAGAGGAGACATCATTGTGGATTTTATCAGAAGCCCTTGAGACCCCTGTAATTTGACCCTTGCCAGTGGTCAGCAAGCTCCAGACACTGGCTTTTCTTTCCTGACACAAGTTCAGTTTGCTCAGGCCTAGCACTTGCTTTGACCCCTTGACTTGGACCATTCTCCCATTAGTTCTTGGCATAGTTGCTTCTTGTCATTCTGGTCACAGCCCAAATAATCGTCTTAGTGTGGCTTCCACATATCACTTGTTCAAAAGTAGCCACCCAAAGGGCCAAGAAGAGAAACAAGAAACCAATTCGCCCTGCCCATGAGGCAGCCAGTGCATAGACTGGGAGACAAGAAGAGCCCCTTCTGTCTCTGTTGATTTGGAAGATCACAGGCTGACTTGATAGCAAGTGAGGTACGAAAATGACTTAGTTCTGGTATTGTTTGATTATTTTTGCAGTTCTAAAGCCGATAGTCTGAGCATCTATTTAGAGGATAACAATATGCAATGTAGCAACTATGGGGGATTTCCTTCAGTCTTGATTTTGAAATCAATATTGTCCTCACTGTTTTCATTTATTCCATTTTATTGTTTTGTTTTCTTCAGTGTTCTATTTTGATTGATTTTTTCTGTTCTTTTTGTTTGATTTTATTATGTCTGATAGTATGGGTAGCAATTTTGAAGACAACAAGACACATTATGGTAACCATTGTTGATTTCCTATTATCCTGTTTTGAAGTCCTGTATCATTTTCACTGTTTTGTTATGATTGGTTTTATTCTGTTTTATTTTGTTTGGTTTTATTCTCCTTAAAATAAAAAAGCACCACCCACTGTCCCCCTCAAAGGCATTTTCTACCCTTAACTCATTTTGTTGTCTTCATAGCACTTAGCATCATCTCCAGGCATCTTCTTCACTGGCCAGACTGTCCATCTCACCCACTGAAGTGCAAGCTGCATGAGGGCAGGAATCTTGGCAAGTATCTTTACTGCTGTATCTTTAGCACCTACATAGGACCTGACACGTACTAATGTCTGTGGTTGGATGATGTTCACAGCTGTGGAAACTCAAATGGTTCAGTGTTTGCTCTAGCATATTAGCAACTTTAGACTGCTCTACACATGGATGACTTTTCATTTAAAACATCTACATTTAGGACCAGCATATTTACTTTCCTGTTTTCTCAAGGCTGGTCATAGCTTGAGATGACAGATGGCAGGAGATGGCCCAACTCTAGAGAGAGGGAGCCTGAGGTTCCACTAGAGCTGCAGACAGTCCATCTCTGGGAGAGTGTGTTTGTGGGACTAGCTCTCTACTTCCATTGCTTAGTCTCCCATCTTTTATCTTGGCAGGCATTCAAAGTTTTCCAAGTGGGCTATTGGATTACAGTTTCTGATGGCTTAGAGGTCTTTGACCCAATTTTCTGGTTGGATGTGCAAATGGCAGATGACAAGAGTCCTCATTTCCTGTAACTAGAGCAAAATACTAAAAGAAAAAAAAAAAAACCCGGGGCAAAACTATTTAACCGCAGAGATAAAACGAGAGAAAAAGAGATAACTACTAGAGGGAGAGGAGCTGGAATCTCGGAGTGTGTTTTCTTTCAAACCTTCTTCATGCCTCCCCACTTCTACCTTCTCCAACCACACTGATCGCCCCACAAACCACACTATATGTGAATTCTTGTTGTGGTTGAGAATTTCTGAGGTAGAGGCATAGCAACATCTTTTTTTTATTTAAAGAAAAAAATAGCAAAACAGAAAAAAGGGTAGAACTAATACAGAATTTCAAAAAAAATTAACACTAAGAAATCACTAGTTGATAAATTACATATTGTCCTCTTAGAAATAGTTGTTTAAGTTATAAAATTAAAGCATAAAAAGTGGACAATCAAATAATGAGAATGCAAACAGTTCTGTTCAATGATCCAACAAAAACTTAGTAATATGGTTATCTATCTTACGCACTTAAACAGACACATAGCAACATCTTTTGCAAAAAGGGAAAGTGAAATAGTCAATGGCAGCTTCTCCTTTTCCTGCTTGGACTCACAGGTCACACCAAGCCGGCTCCCTCCACCTGTTTCCTGGTAGCAGCTTTAGGCTGCTGTCTGTGTTATTCATTAACCAGACACTAACATTTCTGTTTACCCATCTGTCATCCTGCTTCGAGGCAGTGGATTCAGACAAGTCTCACAATTGTATGGCTACCCGGATGGTCTTGGATCAGGCCCAATCAGCCATATTTAGCTACTGTTTGTCATGTCCAAAGCCCTGTGCAAGAGCCTTATACTATCTGTAGCCAAGAAAAGATGAAAATTTCCCCCAGGAGGGTGTGATCTGCCTGCCAAGTGGAGCACAGGAGCTAATTATCAGTATCTCTTGCCAAATCCATGTTCAGTGTCATGATAGGAATTAATTGAGTTGGGGGGAGTGCACAGCCCACATAAATTGGCAAGGACCACAAAGCAGGGCATTTTCTTCCCTCTCTCCTTCTGCCTCCCTGACCTATTCCTCCTCCTACCAAGAGCTGGTCATTAAACATTGTCCAGCATATCACTGGGAACATGCATTTACCTAATAAGAGAAAGATAAATTATAAGGCCTCCTCCTGGCTAATTGATCCTTGGGTCACCAATTCTCATGGAAAAGGAAGCAGCCCCCATTTCAGGGAGCTGCTCACCAGATGATACCTGTGCACATTTGCACAGTATTCTACAGTTTCTTGCCTATCATGAATATTATCTCTTTGACCCTGACAGCTGTCTCCCTTGACCGTACCCACAGCTGCCATAGTGAACTTCTTAAAATGGAAATCAGAACAGGAGCTGTGGGTCAGCGATAATGAATGTGTTTAGTATGTGAGAGGTCCTCGGTTTGATCTCTAGCATGGCAAAGAAAAAAGTGGAAATCAGGTAATTCTACTCTCTTTCTTCAAGCTCTTGAAAGTTTTCCAGAATTTGAATGCTTTCTGGAAGTCCTAGGAATACATTCGAACTCTTTTCTCTATCCTAAAGGGCTTTGTATGGTCTGGTCTTTGTTCTCTGTGACCTTATTTCTGTCACTCCCTGGTTCACCATTTTACTGGCCAGACCTCAAAGTGTGGTTGCTGACCCAGCAACGTCAGCATCATCCAGTCACTTGTTAGAAAGGCAGCCCAGGCATACTGTGAGTTTGCTCCCAAATAAGGTCAACATTTAAACCAGTAGGCTGGTAAAGCATATCGCCCTTCATACCGTGAGTGGACACCATCCAACTGGCTAAGGGCATGAAGAAAACAAAAAGGCAGAAGATGGGAGAATTTACTGTCTCAGTCCAGCAGCTTGAGGGTGTTACCCGATTTCTGTCCTCATTCTAAAACTTATCCCCTCCATTCTCTTGGGTCTCAGCCTTTGGACTCAGACTGAAGCGAAGCTACCTGCTTTTGCTGGGGCTCCAAGTTGCAGGAGGCAGATTCTCAGCCCCCAGAATTGTGTGAGCCAAGTCCTCATAAAGAACCATATATATTTTATGCCACTTGTTGCATATCTTCTATTGCTTCTGTTTCTCTGGAGAACACCCACCCACAGACCTACTGATTCTGAAATCCTGGGAGAAGTACAGTGATCTATGACTTGAAGCACCCTCCTGGTGATCCTAACACAAGCTTGGGTTTGAAACCACTCTTCTAGCCCCACAGGGCTTCTCTCCGGTTATGAGTCACTGATATTTTCTCTCTCCTCAGGGCTTTTGTACCAGCGGTTCCTGCACTGATGAAGAAAATGTATTTTACAAATAGCCAGTAGAGTACTCCTCAGCTATAAAGAAGGGTAAATTGGTAAGAAAATGAATGTGCCTTGAGACAATAATGCTAAGTGAAATAAATCAAACACAGAAGGTTGAATATCTCATGGTTTCTCCTACTCAAAATAAAAATAAAGAGCAAAATAAAGATTGATGATCGGAACAGGGATATGGACTGCGGAGATGGCAAGGGGAGTTGGAGGTGGGGGAAGATGGGGCAGAGGGAGAGAAGGGGAAGCACAGGTGATTAAGATGTGATATGTATATGTCCCAATTCCCCAAGGCAGATGTCATTGTCATGTATGAGATGTCATTGTCATGTATCAGAAACATCTCCATAAAAATAGTTTAAAAATAAAAATGAAATAAAAAGACTGGGGGGGGGGATAAGGCTGCTCCTCCCATGGGCTTTTGTAGAAATGCCTTTCCTTTGTCTGGGGAATCTTTAAACCTTCTCTGCCTCCCATTCTACTTGCTCATAAACTTTATTTCTATTCCTTTGTAGCTAGGTCCCATTTTCCTGTCTGAAACGACCTTGCTTGTGTACTTGTTTATTTGTTTCCTCTCTATTCTTCCTACTTGAATGGAAGCCCCAGTAAGGGCAAGTTTCTTTTGTTCACTGGGTATCTCTAGCCCCTAGCACCTGGCCTATATAGATGGTCTTTGACTTAAGAAGGATCAGCGAAGGATTTTTCAAATTTAAGGTGGTGCAAAATTCATTCCCTGGAACTATACTTTGCATTGCAGATTCGGATCTTTTCCTAGGCTAGTGATGATATGCAGTACGAATTTCTCTTACAAGCTGCAGGAGTTACACACTGCAGTGCTCTGTGTCAGTAAGCTATGGTGTTCAGTTGGCTAGATGTGTTAAATGCCTTTTAGATTTAGGGTATTTTACAGGTATGATGGGTTTATCAGAACAAACACCCAGCATAAAACAAGGAGCATCCATAGTACTCAATGCCTGTTTGTTGAACAAATAAATTACTAATTTCCCATTGAAGAAATGGATTGTTATATCAAGTGATCTGAAGAAGTTACATACTTGCAAGAAGCTAAAGCCTCACTGTGAAAGTCTCAGATCAGCTGTGGCTACTTCCTGACAATCCCGAGTCCCCAAATGACTTTATTTTGTACTTTCCCAGTTAACAGGAGCTACTGCGTAGCTAGAGAACCTGAGAATCTTGGAATGGGAAGTCACTGGCCAGTTCAGTCAGCGCTTATCAGATGCGTGTTTCCTCGGTGTCCTAGCATGAGTGGTTGCTAATTTCTGCTTGAATGTTCCTGGAAATTAAGAGACTAGCTACCTGGCTGCGGGAGTCAGTTCTGTTTAAACAGCTCCAGCTGTTTGCAGTCTCTTGCTGTGATCTTTGCTCTTTGCTATGCAGCTAGGTAGAGTAACTCCCCTTAGAATGGGCGTCCTCATGTCCCAACCTCACAGCCACACGGCAGCATTCTCCTACTTCCTCCTCCCATAGCAGTGGAAAAAGCAGACATCTTGGAGTCAGAAGAACTAGATTCAGACTCCTTCTTACCTACTGACCTTGAAAAATTACCTTAATTCTCTGTGGCTCCTTCTCTGGCATCATGTCTAGAATTTATTATGCCTTATTATTACTGTTATGTTGTTTAAAATCTCTAAAACACTTTGTTTAATGTTTCGAGGGTTCAGTCCTCTGAATTAGTGTCCTTCTTACAATTGTGTCAGTAATGAGCATGAGTACATACATCCAAGTGGAGTGCTGTTATTATCAATTTATTGAATTGAAACTTGTTTCTTTTAATGCCATCTAAGTCAAGTTACTTTTTAAAGAAACTAATCCACAGAGGACTCATAAACTGAAACATTCCAGATTTTTCTCACATAGTCCTGCTAAACCATTCTTTAGTCAATTATCTAAAATATTATTTCAAAGATTTTTGATTTATTACTTATATGTCTTTGAAGTGAAGAAACATCTGTGCTCACACAAATTGATATTTCTAGAGCTAAATGCCCTACAATTTCTCAGCAATTTTATAGCTATAGTTTTGAGTGTGAGAGACAGTGTGTGTGTGTGTATGCACCAAGGATAGAACTCAGAATCACATTTCACTCCTCAAAATACTCCTGGGAGATGTACCTTATCTTTATCACTGTGACTTGGAAAGGTTGGACATGCTAGTAAGATGCCCAAGTATTGAAGCCAGGGCTCAGAGGGTGCTGGTCCAGACTTCTTTGAAGAAGGAAACCAGAAAACGAGCTTATGGGTGGGTGGGAGGAGTAATAAAGAAAGACTTTCTGGAAAAAGCTAATATTGAGTGGGATTTTATAAGAGGGGTCAAAAAAGTGGGAGTATGGGATGGAGGTGAAGAGGGAGGTAAATGCAGAAAAAGTCACTCTGAAGAATAATTTTTTAGGCAGATTTGGTTCCTGAGAATCACTTAGTGAGGCTTGACTGCTGGGGCCCCAGATCCTGGCAGTAGGGTGAAGGTGGCTTTCTGTTATTTTCACATCCCCATGTGTAACTGATATGCAGTTCAAGCTACAAACCACAAAGCTGGGGGCTGGAGACTTTGTTAATTCAGCTAGGGATCCTACCATGGAAAAATGAGTCAAGGAGGCAGGATTAGGAAGGGAGAAGGCATAAAGCAGGCAAAGGGATGATAAATGATGGAAAGAAAAATTTTGAAGGCAGGAAACTGGACTTCTGAGCAGGGGGAGCTTGTTTTAAGCCTCTGGCGTAGACGGGTGGCTCTGAGGTGCGTTTTGCCTGCATCCTCTAAGTGCAGCCTTCCCTCGTCCTCAATGTAATAAGATTCCATCATGTGCTCACTTGTTTCCCCCTCATCACATTTCCATCTGCAGAGGTCTCCGTGGTTTCCACTGGATCACCTCGTCCCCCTGGCTGCTCCACCTGGTCCTCCCTGCTGTGTTTGTCCTCTTCACCCTAACATGCACAACATGTGGGGTAACACGAAGGAGGAAGGGATCCAGACCTCAGTTTCATGGAGGAGACAGGATACCATGAAGATGAAGAAGCACACATACAAAACAATGCGTCAGACTGATACAGTGAAGCCGGAGCAGTAGAGATCTAAGCCCTTCTGGTCCCCTTGGCTCTGCACCTTTTGGAGACTCCCTTGCCCTTCCTTGCCCGTATTTCTCTTCCGTCTCTTTCCCATTGGCTTCTTTCCAGCACCAGCAGCCAGACCAGTGTCCAGGTGCTGTTTCTAAGCCTGGAATGAGATTGCTTTAGGACTCTGCTTCTGCCAGGGTCTTTCCCTTCCACCAACTTCCTCACAAAGACTGAATCCATGTTAGCTGCCTTGCTTATGACATCTCGGCCAGGCAGAATTTCTAGGCCTAACCATTTTCTCTCATGTCATTAAGCTATATTTACTTAGAAAGGGAAATTGAAGCAGGCAGGGATACCAAACCGGCAAGAGAGGTTTTTACCAAGTTTTACCAGTCCTAGTTTGGGCCTCAGGATTCTTGCGTCTGGGAGCTGCCCATCTCCCTGGTTGCCCAACTCCAGTGTAACCCAGAGTGTCCCCCAAAGATCCAGGAAATCATTAGTCTGTGATGAAATCCGAACTTGGCATTCTCTCTGTTTGATTCATGCCCCTGTCCCCAGTTGTCACCTCCGCTGTCTCTTTGGCCCTGCACCCCAGCAGGGAGGAGCCCTGACGACGCAGCAGCTGCAGCCCTTCACCAAAAGTTCTGCGCACCACCGAAGAAGAGAAGTAGAACAGCAGTGGGTCCAGGGTGGCGTTGAGAGAGCTGAACACCACGGCCTCCTTCCGCCACGGGGGGCTTTCCCTTAAGAAAAATCCCACCAAGTGTGACAAGTTGTAAGGTCCAAAGCACAGCAGGAAATTGAGCAGGGTCACGACAGCCAGTCCCACAGCTCGCCATCGCCTCTGGGTTCCCACATGAGGCTGGGTAAGCATAATCCACACAAAGCGCCAGTAGCAGAAGATGGTGACAACCATGGGGATGAAGAAGAGGACCAAGCACAGCTCCAGCCGCACAGGCAACACCAGGTCTAGCTGCTCTTGGGTGAAGTTCTGGTAGCAGGTTATTTGGTTTCCGTCTCTCACCTGCTCGGTTGCGTTCAAGTACTGAACAACGAATATAATGGTGCAGTGACCGAAGGACAGGATCCAGGCGACCAGAGCAGCGATCACTCCATATATAGGCCGCCGGGAGAGCTTGTACTGCACAGGGAAAGCCACTCCCAGATAGCGCTCGATGCTGATGCCCGCCAAGAGCCACGTGCTGCAGTAGATGCAGCTGTAGAAACCAAAACCAGTAAGGGCACAGACAATCTGAGGCAGATACCAGTGGAAGTTGGATGCAGCCTCAATGATCCGGAAGGGCAGCAGCAGCAGCAGGAGGAGGTCAGCCATGGTCAGATTGAGCAGGAGGATGTGCACGGGCGCAGGCTGGGGCTGGCGGACCCGCCCCACAAAGGCCCGCAGGGCCAGGAGGTTGGCAGGGAGGCCGGAAAGGAAGATGAGGATGTAGGCTGTGAGGATCAGGGAGCTGTGCCAGTCAAGCATCATTCTGGAGGAGGATGGAAAAGTGCAGAGTTAGGATGCCCCACTCACAGCCTGCAGAGTGTCCCCTCTGGTTCAGGAGGCAGACATCCTCCCCGGCATGCTCCCCTTCTTCCCAGCCCAGAGATCTCTGCTGCCACCACTACTTGCTCACACCACCTGCCAGAACTGCCCAGAGCAATTATTGACTTTGCCTTGGGCGGGATATTAAGCAGCAGTTATTACATTTGCCATCCGATGTCTCTGGGGAGACCAACCCTTGGCTCCCCAAGGGAATTCCCCCTCCAGTTTCCCCAGCCTTTCTCCTGCTGGCCTCACAGACACAGGAAGTTACTGTTAGCAGTCTCCGTCTTATGTCTCTGGGAGAGGAAGGCATCACAGCCAGGAGAGGTCTAAAAGGCATGTTTCAGGGCCAGGAGGCTGAGAGAGCAATGGCACGCTGGACCCTGGGCTGGCTGTCCTTGCCTCCCTACTGTCCTCTTCTGCAGAACCCAGTTTTTCTCTGCCTTATGCATGCCTGTTCACCTATTCTGGGGAAGTACTGAAAAGGGGAATTTGGGGCCGCGTGGGAGGAAGTGTGAGTTAGCACTGTGCTTTGGGGCTCACAGGCTGCAAGTGAGCCTGGTATTTCATCTATAAATAGAAGAACTCCAATTCTTCATGGGTGACTCAATTTCCACTGTATTGTTAACCCTTGCTGCCCACACACATCCATCCTCTCTGGAGTCCCCAGTCAGACACAGGACAGTTGGAGTCTAACTCTTGTACTTCATATTTCGGTTCCCCAGCACTGCCCCCTCCCAACACTTTCCTATCAAATGTTTGATCCTGCAATCAAGTCCCAGAGCACAAGCACTCAGCCATCTTGCCTTGTCTCTGTTCTTGATAGATGGCTCCTTGGGGTTATTCCTGAAGGCAAGTCTGGTTGCCGCGGAGAAAGAACAGCACCTTGGCTACTGCTGCTGCCCATTTCACACAGGAAAGTATTGCAGGGACCTAGCTTTTTATACCCCCTGGGGTCATGTGACTAGTGCAGAGAAAAGGAGCACTGTTTCCTCCCTAACCCAAAGTATAGGGCCTCTGCATCTCCAGGTTCTCCCTGGAGAGCCTCTCTCCGACTTTCAAACAGATTTTTCTGTCCTATCTTCCTGTTTGCTTTTTTATTTTAGCTCCAGGCATTTTTACCAAGTCCCCAAGTCAAATTCTCTTCTTTTCTCTTTACTAGGTATTTTCTTCTGTTAGTGTCTAGTATGTCAATTTCATTATCAAAAGAGGTTCCCTGCTTCCTTTAATTCTTCAATTTTCTCTTTTCTGTATATATGGTCTCCTGCCCTCTGCCCTAACAATTTTCCTGTGTCTCTCAGATGAAATAGATTGGTTCTAGGATCCTAACTTCTGTCTTATTATAGTAGAAATAGCGTGGGATTTAAGGTCATGCAGATGTAGGCTCAAATCCAAGTCCCTTTATTAGGGCTCTGAGCAGATCAATTTTCTGACCTTTTATTTTCTTTTCTGTCAAGTAGACATGGGAATATTAACCTTACAGGGTTTCTGAAAAAACTTGATGAGACTGCAAGATGCAAAGTGCATGGACCAGGGTTTAGCATTTAATGGGTGTCCTTAAATTTGTCCCCCTCTCAAGCCTGTTGGGCTGATTCATAGACCAAGAGCTATTTGGTAAAATATCTGGAGGACTGGATATGCTATCTTACTGGGAAAGTGTTAGGAATCCAAGAAACCCTAGTTCCAATGCCCACGTGGTTCCTCACAGGAGTGGTCATTTCCCTCTGATATTCCCTCTCTCTTAGACTGAGTTACCCCTGTCCTTTTCTCTTTTTTTCCCTCTCTGATTTGCTTAGAGCTCCAGAATAGAAGCTCCTGTGTCCTTCCCAAGAAATCCAAGTGTGGTGGTCCATGCCTGTAAACACAACACTCAGGAGGGTGTCGCAGGATGACTGCTGTGATTTTGATAACAGTGTGGGCTACATGGTGAGGACAGCCTGAACTATACAGGGAGACCCTGTCTCCAACAACAACAACAACAACAACAACAACAAGGAACAATATACACCCAAGGAAATAAGGACCATCACAACATGGCTCTGTTTGTTACTTCTGCAGAGCTGGGGATGAAACCCAGGACCCTGTGTAATGCTAGGCAAGCCCTCTACCACTGAACCATACTCTCAGCCCCCCATTTTCCTCCTGAGCTAGACAATGGGTGTCTCTTTTACCATCTGGGGCCTGATCCCTCCTTACAGAATCTCCATTCTTTCCTTAGGACTTGCTGATTTCCTGTTGATCTCTTATTCCTTTATTCCTTTATTCTTTTTGTGGCCTAGGACCCTGGATTCAGTTACCTTGATGTTTAACTTTTCATTCTCTTCAGCTCTGCTGTTTTCTAGAACTAAAAAATGTTTACTTCTTCTTTTGTTACCCTTTCTCAGTCCCCATAGGCACTTTCCAGATAAACAGGGAAACTAGAGGTACAATTCCCCATTCTGTTGCTCGCTACCAAGTTTACTTGTGTCATTTTGCTTTTATCATTTTCAATAAATATTCATGAGGATCTGGATTTAAATGCAAACAGAAGCTTATTGGAAAGTATGAGTCCTCCCCCACCCCCAGCCCTACCAAACCCCGTGCCTTCCTCTGTCATAGTAGCGGAAGATGTCACTCTGCTGTCTTCAACATAGCTACAAAGGTAACATAACAAAATGAAACTTGAACTCATGACTCAGGATGCCCATTTATACCACAAGAAAAGGAAATGCAACCTCAGGCTAAATTCACTAGGTAAGATTTCACAAAAGTCATAGGTTTTACGACGTCTTCCAAGCCCAATTTCTTTTTATTGTCATTATAACATTATTATAATAAGAAACTGGACTGATTAAAGTTCTGTAGAGTCACATTCATGCCCTTAGTTCTTAGTCCTCCTCAGTCAACTCTAATCTGTCTGCTGGCCTTATCTTTCCATAGGATCTTCTCTTCCTAAAGGTAGCAGTGACTTCTATGTGACTAAATCCACTGGACATTTTTTTCTCATTCAATTAGTATTTAATGTAATTTTTTGAAACACATCCTCTTTCCATAAATTCTGGGACATTGTGGCCTTCTGGTTTTTCTCTTCTTTCAACTGGTCACTTCTTAATTTCCTTTGTTAGGTAACCTTATTTTACTCAACCCTTTGATGTTAGAACTCCTTAAAAAATAGTTCTAAGCCCAGTTTGATGGCACATGCCTGTAATCCCAGGAGGCTGAGGCAGGAGGACTATTTTTTAAAGAAAGGGGTTGGGGCTAGGAATGTAGCTCAGTGGCAGACCAGGCACAGGCCCTGGGTTCATTCTCAGTATTACAGCAACAATAGCAGCAGCAGCAGCAACTGTCAATTTGACTCTAGATTCTCTCCTTTTCTATCCTCTGCACTTGTCTATGACAAGTCACATGAACCTGATATATGTTTCCACTTATTTAGGTCTTTAATTTCCTTTGGCAGTGTTGCCTAGTTTTTATCAGTGAGGTTTGGTACTTCTTTTCTTAAGTTGATTCTGACGAATCTTGGAAGCAATTGCAAATTTGATTTTTTAAAATTTATTTTCCCATCATTTGCTGCTCTTATTAACTTCTCTCACTATTCCTTCCTCGCAGACATTTTGGTTTATCATAATATATTTGTTTGATAGGGATTCATATTGAATGAACATAAAGTTCAGCTCCCTCATGACAGCCCATTAAGGCAGGAGCTTGGCCCTTTTGCTCACCACTGCGTTCCCAGGGCCTGGCCTAGAGCCTGACGTGGTTTAGGCACTCTACAACAATTTCCTGGAAAATGAAGAGGTGAATAAATGGAAGAATTAGAAGCAGGGGTTGGGGAGACAGTTTTCAAAACCTCAGAGGTGTTTGTCCTTAGATGCTTCATTTATCTTCTTCTAGGAATTGATGAGAAATTTCAGCTGATAACTATTTGTGGATTAAAGCTCTTCTCCTAAAAAAAACCATAGGAAGTATTTCTCCATAGTCAATATTGATAATTCAGGTGACTATCCATTTATTATATAGATTCTCCTTGTTAAATAATGGGAAGGTAAAAATAGAAGGTGTTATACAATAAAATAAAATAATGGATTCCACCAGTTGTTGTACCAACAATAAATAAAGTTATTGCTTCATTCATTCATTCACTCAAATCCGTCTGCCCCCTAGGACAGTGATGGCAAACCTATGGCACTCATGTCACAGCAAGCTATTTGTACCACAGAAAGCTCTAAAATGTTCACAATAAGAGAATTGCAGGATGTGATTTTAATTCTAGAGGGTCCAGTCCTCTACTAAGTGAAAATGATCTCCAAAGTGATGGATTGGAAGCAGAAAGATCAGCTAGGGAAGTTCCTTGCATACCCAACTGGTGGGGGGTAGTGGATGATGGTGTTGACTAGGGAGAATGTAGCAGTGGATGCAGAGAGGACCATGTGGGATTCAGGACATCTACCTTGAAATAAATAACTATAAATGAAGAGTGAAGAAATGGAACTGTCCTGGGAAAGAAGAAAGTTTATTCTACATCATATGTTCAAGTAGATACTGAGATTTTGTTGCTGTTCTATGTCATACAGTTCACTTTGCATCCATTTGTCTATTGCTGTCTTTGAGCCCCTGTAGTGGCTTCACAAGGGCAGATCACTCTACTGTGGAGGTGACGGTTTTTGGCATTTGCATGGCCTCATCAATTGAACAGCCCTTCCTCTGTCATTTGAAGAGTGCTGTCCTCCAACTCTGCAGCCTTCACACAGCCCACCTCTTGGGCTGCAGAAATAAACAGGACCATCTCAGAGTGGCATCTTGGCAGTAAGCTTTGGACCCTGCCTCTAGAGTGGGCCTCTGTAAGTTGTTATCATCCACTGCTGGACACCATAGCCCAGCCTCCCTCTGCAGAGACCTCCCTGTGAATGACACCACTTCTGGCCAATAATGCCAGCTGTGATATCTGCATAATGGCCCCCTCAAAAGTTTTCATATCCTAATCTCTAGAACCTCAGAATGCTACTTCACATGGCCAAAAGAACTTTACAGATGTAATTATGACCTTGAGATGGTGAGATGATCCTAGGTGATCTAAGCTGGTGCAAAATGGAATCATAAATGTTCTTACAAGAATAAAACAGAGGGAGACTTCAGACAGACAGAAGAGGAGAAGATGATGAGATTGTGGAGGCAGATGCAGAGTGATATGGCTACAAGCCAATGAGTGGCAGGAGCCACCACAAGCTGGAAAAGGCAAAGAATTAGTTCTCTCCTAGAGCCTCCTGAAGAAGGGATGGTCCTACCAACACCTTGTGCTCCATCCCACCCAGACTTTTGGCTTGAGTCACCCCAAAAGTGACAGTAAGGAAATTCCCACTGGTAGTTAGTTACTCAATTGTCCTGACATGGGTCAACTGAGATTTCAGAGCAAGAATAACTAACTCTTGGATGGTCCATCCACAGAATTTACTCTTTAACTGCAGAGCAGGCTGTATTGTCCTTGTGGTGAATAGGGAGAGAAAGGGATGTTCTACTTAGGTTATGTTCACCAGGGGTGGGTGGAGTACTGGATTTAGAAGAAGGTTTAAGAAATTTGGCATAGGGATGAGACCATTTTCCTTCAGTGTTTTGAGCCATAACTTATACACCTTTATCAGCACTTGGGAATGTTCAATGTCCTGACTTTGGTCTCTGCAGGCAAAACATGCAGCTGGATAAATCACAGATTGATCAAGGTGCTCTGGGTTGGAAGGTCAGGACTGAGAAAAGGTACAGGTGGGGGGACCCTGCATCTTCATTTCAGGCCAGTGATTGTGACTGGATTTCTGGCCTCCAGAACTGTGGGATAATAAATTTCTATTGTAGGTAAGTGTGGGGACATGAACCTGTGACCCCAGTAGGCTGGGAGGCTATGGCAGGAGGATTGCAAGTTTGAATACAGCCTGGGAAAGTTAGAGACACCATCTCAAAATAAAAAGTTAAAAAGGGCTAGGGATGTGGCTCCATGTAAAGACTCTGGTTTCAGCCCTCAGTAACACCCCCACAGACACACACACACACACACACACACACACACACACACACACAGAGAGAGAGAAGAAGTAAAGTATGAAATCACAAAAAAGCATGGAGGAACCTTAAACACTGAATGAAAGAAGCCAATCTGACAAGGCCATATACTGTATGATTCCCATTATGTGACATTGCAGTTCACTGATTGCTTAAATGGAGTAAGGGATGAATAAATCAAGCACAGAGGACTTTTAGCACAGCAAAACTTTCCTGTATGATACTACAGTTGTGACTACATGTCCCTACACACTTACCAAAACCCACAGCTGGCTGAGAGTGGTGGTGCACTCTGCAATGCCAGCCCTCTGCGAGGACGAGGATAGTAAGTTAAAGTTCAGCCTGGGCAACTAAGTGAGACCTATCACAAAATAAAGCATTGAAAGTCCTGGGGATGTAGCTCTGTGCAAAGGCCTTGGTTTATATCTCCATTACGTGAAAAAATTCATAAATAAATTTTATTATTTCAAGCCATGAAGTTTGCAGCAATTTGTTACAGAAGATATAGAAAACCCCTCTATCAGCTGACACTTACTATCCATTCTGTGACACCATACGCCGGGTCCCATGGTAAGACTTTATAAAGATAGACTCATTTAAATATTCTTAGAATGTTCTCTGGGCTTGGCACACTCGTCCTCTTTTACAGATGAGGAAACTGAGGTATAGCGAGGTTGTTAGGTAATTTGCCTGAAGTCTCATCTGGTTCACCAAGGACTGAATTCTGAACTTGGGACTCGGACACGGGTTCCAAGGTCCTCACACCACACTGAGTTCCCCTCTGTCCTGGGAGGGCCCCGGCTAAAGGAGCAGGAGACAAATGTATCTGCACAGCTGCAAGCTTTCCTGCCAGTGACTCTTCCATGATCCCCAGCAGCACAGGCACGACCTGCAGCCCCAGGATCCCAGGGCCAAGAGGCTCTCATCCTTTCACACACTGCAGTGCTTGCTCTGTTACCAGATCCCAGACAGGGTGGTTTTCTACTCCTCTTCCCTCCCCTCCTCCAAACACTTTGGATACATAGGAGCTAGAGAGAAAACAACACCAACAGTTTCTCTCTGTCCAGCTTACCGCACCATTTAGCTTTTATGGTTTCTATAAATGTTTATAAGGATCTGAATTTGACTGTGAAACAGAACTGAGAACATGGGAGGTAAACTTTCTCCAGGAACCCTGGAGAGATCGTCTGATCGTTTGCTTTCTCCCGTGCCCCTTCTCCATCTGCTGTCTGTGCTCAGCTGGCCCTCAGACCAGGAAGGGGACTGAAGAGCCTCACCCTCTACATATACAGGGCCTCCAGGCCAGGCCCCTGGGAAGTTTTCATGATTTATACCACCCTTGGAAAAGGCCAGAAGGCAACTGGATGCTTCCGTGGCAGCCTTTCCATGTTGACCTTGAGCAAAGGAGGAGAGGCACAAGAGTTTCCTGATGTGGAAGAGGCGGGGATTCCTTGAGGCCAGCTGGATGGGTCAGATGCTGACTGATCCCTCAAAAGGTGAGCCCACCTCGGGGCGAACTGGTCCCTCTGCTTTTCTATCCCAGGCATCACCCTCTGTTTTCCTCCATTGTGGGTTTCCAACACATACATGACTCATTTTCCTTTAGTAGCTAATGACATTTCGGGAGCTACCAAGATTTCTGTTCCAGTTCATGGAATCATAGAGAACTTGAATTAGATCACTGATTCTCCAGAGGCATGAAGAGGGCAGAAATTCCTAGGCCTATGTGTGTGGGAGGAGAGATCCTACATATGGTTCAAGAGTGCCAAACTGCCTGTAATCCCAACACTCCAGGAGGCTGAGGCAAGAGGATGAAAAGTTTAGCCCAGCCTGGGCAACTATGCAACTTTGTGTTAAAATGAAAAATAAAAAAGGTTGGAGATGTAGTGCAGTGAAAAAGCCCTGGATTCAGTCCTTAGGGCTGAAGAAAGAGAGAGAGAGAGAGAGAGAGAGAGAGAGAGAGAGAGAGAGAGACCATGCTAGAAATTTTTGAGGGGAAGGAAAAGCCCTGGTTTACTCAATACAAACTAAAAAGTAAAATTTGTGTTTACAAAAAACCAAACAGGACTTGGTTAATGACAGATTGAGAAACAGTGGTGCAGTTAATGTAACCCTTTAAGACTGGCTCTCACACACATTTAGATAAATCCAGACCCTCTGTTCCTGCAGCCACACTTCACAGCCCCTCTGTCAATAGGGAGTGGCACACACTCGGGGCATAGTGTGCAGTGCCGAGGGTGAGGGGAGCATTCAGGAGGGTTTTAGGTTAGCAGGCTCTAGCGGGGATCTCATTTTCTTCTCCCTTGGCCTTTGCTATGCTATGATCTGAAGGCACAGAAACTTAACACCCAAAATCCCCTTCTGACTTGAAAAGGTTTTAACATTTACCAAGATAAAAACCACATATCTAGGCTAGGAATTGTCCAAAGGTGCCCCAAGCCTAAATACCAAAGGCTTAAGCACATAGAGGTTTGTTTTCCCATGTAACGTGGAGGAGACAGGCGGCCCGGGCTTGTGTAGCTGTTCAGGACAAAGCCTGGCTCTGCTACCCTTTCTGTGTCATCTTCCTTACACTTCGGTTTTGACTTCATGACTTTGTCAGGGACCTTTCATTCATTCATTCACTCTTTTGGAGCACTAGGGATTGAACATTTGCACTGAGCTACATCCCTAGCCCTTTTCTAAATTTTGAGACAGGGTCTCACTGAGTTACTAACTTGCCCAAGCTGGCTAAGATTGCAATTTTCCTGTATCACCCTCCCAGAATGCTGAGATTACAGGCCTGGGCCACCATAATTTGCAAAAAGGACCTGCATTCAGAGCAGAAAAACAAGGACAGGGAGAACAGAAAATAACAAGTAATCCCTCTCTTAAATGACAGCTTGACTAGAAGCTACAAGATACCTCTGCTGGCTTTTCACTGTGCCTCCTGACAACTCCCAGCTGTAAGAGTCTGGAAAGTGAATATTCATTGAGCACATCCCCAACTTGACACAGAGGGGGATCCTTTTAGTAAGGAAAAGGGAGAGGACCCCCAAAGATATTATCCTGGAATAGCAAACATGAAGAGCCAAAATCTCTAGGGCTAAAATAGCTACAGTACATAAAAAACTGTAAGATTTTAGATTCTTTATAAATTGTTATTGCTAGTGTACAACACACAGAAAAGAAAGCACACTAAACTTAGGGACAGTGTGGGATGAATGCTATGCATCTGTACTGCGTTTGTGGAGCTACCAGCCAGGTTCAGATAGAAACCTACTTTTTGTGCCCCTTTCCGTTGGCAAACCATCCACCCCCAAAGTAACCACTATTGTGGCTTCCACTGCGTAGAGAAGGGGATTTACCCTCCTAGGGGTTAGAGAGGAGGAGAAGAGGTGATGTGCGGAGGGGAAGAAAAGGGAGGAAGAGTGAGACCGAGTGCATGTTGCCTTTTGTATTGCAGCCGTCCTCTGCCCCTTAAATTATTCTAATTCCCTTTGAATACCCTCCTTCAAATGTGACCAGAAACCGGGGTAATGGTTTCATTTTCCCTGCTGTGGTGCTGTGCTGAAGCTTCTGATCAGGGAGAACTGGGTTCTGCTGTCCATAAAAGAACAACCCAACTAATAATGCTGTAAGTCAGGTAGAATTCTGCTCTTCGGCCACACACATAGAAGCGGTATGCAGGTATGCAGTGCAGCATCCCTTGAACATCTTTGGCAGCCCCAGGATGGTTCCCAAAGGCCCCATCTTGCTTTTGGATCCCAGCTCTACAAGTCCTAAGATGGCCCTTGCCCTCTGGTAGTCCAAAATGGAAGCTGAAGCCCCAACCATCACATCTGTATTTCTGGGAACAGAATGGACAAAGGAGAAGAAGAAACACTCACCCCTTCTCATTTTGAGAGGCTTCTCAGAAGTTCCAGTTCTGCTAGTAATACACTGGCAAGAACTTACTCAAGTGGTTACACCTCACTGCAAAGAAGGCTAGTGCCAAGTGCTGTTAGAAATCAGGCTTTTAAAAAAGTGCAGAAGCTGGCAGCCTCTTCCAAATGATACTTTTGTAGCTTTTGCAGATCAATCTCCCCACCAGATTCTACAACCTTGCTCTGCATCCCCAGCAGCCTCCTGCTGTACCTCAGGAAGCCCCAGCCCTGCTTACCCCATCCACTCTGGGCTTCTCAGGAAAACAGGAGGATTTTCCGGCAGATGGGAAAGAATGCACCGCCCAGAGCACGGCAGTCAGACTGTTGTCAGACTCCCTGGCTCGGGAGTGCCTCCTAGCACCAGACACACATGACCTAAGCCAAGTTCCATTAGCGGCTGTCATTTTGTCTCAGGGACAAAATTTAGATATGAGCATTTTGTTGAGGGCCACCTCAGCCAACTACAATTAGGCAAAATTGAGAGTACATGTAGTTGCCTTTTCTCTAATACAAGCACCATTTACTTTTCAATGTAGGAACTCAATCTCAGCACTGAGGGGCAGAAACCAGGAGGCCACTGTATGGGGGAGAGTAGGGTGCTTGTGTGGACCTGCTGTGTCCTTCAGTGCCAGTCCAGCTGAGAGCTGCAGGCCACAGTGGACACCTCTGCAAACAGAGGCAACAGAGGCAATGGCAGGCATGGGGAGAGCTTTGCTCAGAGCAACAGAAAGGGACCAGGGTTCCGGTGCCTAGGAAGGTCGAAAGCGGCAGGTCTGGCCACACTCAGCCCAGGACAGGATGAGGCTGCCAGATTTGTCAGGGTTCACGAGAAATGCAGGATCATGTGAGGTTCTCTGAGAACATTCTGCCTGAGTTAAAGAGAACTAGGGCTGTTATGTTCCTTTTTGGGGGTTTTCATAAGGTGTAACCTCTCGCAACTCACTTCTTCCCTGGGATAGATTCTATAAGTCAGATTTCCCATCCTGCGTCTCTCTGACACCTGCTTTGGCTCCCTATTTACTATGACTTCTCTTCTTTGCATGAGTGCTCTCTCAGGAGAGGAAAAGCTCTCACAGGATTTTGAGGCTTTGGAAGTGCCCACCAACCACACGAAGTGACAGCAAACATGACAACCTGTGAGTGGTACCAATGCTCGATCCTGTCTTCCTGCCACAGACACCTCTTGGGCTCTGCTGAGCGGGATGAACAGGGTTTGAGAAGGACAGAAGTTTTCCAGCTCTCTTTTCACACAGTGGCTTTTCACACAGTGGCTTCTGGCCATTTAGGACACAGAAAGTGCAGAGTCTCTGGTCCTGTGGTCACCACCCAGATCGCCAGGCTGCCCAGCTGACTGTGATTTGGCTTAGTTGGCCACATGTGCCACATTGCCAGGGGCAGGGCAGTCACAGAAGCAGAGAAGACAAGAGCAGGTTCCCAAGCACAGAAGGAGGGAGTTCTGTGTCAGCATGGTGACACTGGTGTGCTACGCTATTCCCAGGCTGCACTAGGATGGGGGCCTTCTTTGCTTCCTCTGGGCAGCATACTTGTAGATTCAGGATGACAGTGACCTTGTACCAACCTACTGTATCCACTTCTTTGTTTGTTTCCTCACACTCACAAAAGTCTTTTCTTTTGTATTTTTTGAGACCTGGTCTCGCTAAGTTGCTAGGTTGTCCAGGTCGGCTCAAGCTTCAGATCCTCCAGCTTCAGCCTTCCAGAGAGCTCTGATGACAAGTGTGTGCCACCATGTCCAGATGGTCTCTCTGATATGACATGAAATCACAGATTGTATTGTTAACCTCTAGCTGCCTCATATCAATGGCTCTCAACCCATTTAGGGGGTGGCTGAGTTGGAGAAAAACTGGTCAGCAACACGTCTCTCTGTCCTGGACACTGATGCACCCAGCTATGTGGCATCCTCTGGCCTGACAGCAGCCTCCATCTCCATTCACAATCACACCCATCCTTCTTTCTTCGTCACTGCTTCCTGTCAGATTGTCCCCACCAGTGGGACTCTCCAGTGATCTCCCACAAGACCTGGCACCTCCCTGGGTCAGAGCGCTTGGATGTGAAGGCCTTTCCACAGAATATCCAGGTAAAACTCTTCAGGTTCTGAGAAAAAGACCAGTCTGAGCCTGGAATGCTAGTGCATGGGTGTCTGTAATCTCAGCACTCTGGGAGGGTGAGGCAGGGAGAGTTACAAGTTCAAGCCCAGCCTGTCTCAAAATAATTTTGAAGAAGATGGAGAGGTAGCTCAGTGTAAAGGTACTGAATTCAATCCCTGCTAATAAAAAAGCAGCCAGCCTGTGCCTAGACGACTAGTCTTTCAAAGGGGCACAGGACATTTATCTACATAGGAATTGTTTGTGTGGATAAGAAGAGCAATAGGTGAGCTTTTTCAAAGCCAGCTTGACACCCGTTTTCCCTCAAATCCCTGCCTTTACAAATCTAATTGCTCTCCCTCAGAAATCTCTTGCCCAAGCCTCCTTTTACAGGGGAGCCCTCACAACCCGCTCCTCTGGGAGATTCTCTCCTGCCATTTTCCCTCACTCCCAGTTGTTCCAGGAATCTGCCCTCAGGTCTTTCTTTATCTCCCTCCTTTTCCAACCCCTGCCCTTTCCTAGACGTCATCAAGTTCCTGCTCCTTCTCCCAGCACCATCCAGTCTGAGTAGGTTAAAGTCCCCAGGTTTGTGTCACCATTCATAAAAACCAAGGCTGTTGACTTTCAAGTCCACAGGCTCCCACTAGTCCAGAAAAATATCCTGGTCCAGGTGGCCCCACACGGCTCACCAAGTCTGAGAGCTGAGGCTCAGTTCTTCTCCTATACAACCTGTCTTTCCCAGTGGTTTCTGCCAGGTCCCTCTGCCACCTCCTCTTTTCTTGCCAGGATCTGCTCTCCGAGCATCCAACAGCCCTAACCTTCACAGGTGTTCCCAAGAGTCCCTCAGGCAGCTGAGGCACAGAGTCAGGCCAATAGGCAGCTTCTCTGCAAATGAGCAGGTACAGAGCACGAAACAAAGCAGATATGTTCTTGCTTTTACAAAATTTGCTTTCTACATGGTGGGAGGGATGACAATACACAATAGAATCTGCATGGGTATAAATGGTATTTTATCATCATGGCATGTTCCACGAATAGCATAAAACAGGAAGACGTAATAGTCACAAGAAGGGGGCTGACTGGTGGTTTTTGAAGAGTCCCATTGCAAAGGTGTCTTACTGCTCCTATGTCTGTCTGAGGGTGCATCTTCCCCTCAGTCATCAGGGAGTCCGCTAATGATTCAGGAAGCCATCCTAGAAGCCATTTGTCCCATTGACTATTTGTCATTCCATTCCAGGCCTCCTTGTTATCCCATGCAGGCCACTTTCTAGATTAGTCTAAGGGTTCTTTGAATTTCTTGACAAACTACACTTGCACTGTTTTACTCCTACTATTTCCTTAGATGTTCATGACATTCAGATTTTAGCAAACATTACAAACTTCCTGCCAAGGAGATGTTGGTGGGGGGGAAGTACTGCTTTTCCCCTTGAGCTCTGTCTTATCTCATTTGCATGAGCATGACTAAGGATTTGGGGCAGAAGTCAAGCCCAGTGGTTCCCATGATCCTGGGACCCCTGCGGTTCCCTTCTTTCCACTCTGGCCACCTAGGTGTACCCACAGTGTGCGTCCATCCAGGCAGTGAGCTGGATACGCAGGATGGGAAGGGAGAGCTACAGGCCTGGGCGGCCTTCCTCCTTTGCAGCTGGCCTCACCTCCTTCCCCTTTTATGACTCTCCTGGCTGATAAGCTCTTGGGAAAGTTGGGCTTCCATGATGCACCAGGCCCCTGTCTGGGGTGTGTGTCTTCCCAGAAGACAATTTCACGCTGGCCTTCAGAGTATTCAGGAAGTTTTGCACAGGCTACTGTTTGTTTCCCAACCCCATTGACCTATCCTCTTTAAAAATTAAGAGGGCTGCAGGCCATACCTGTGTAGAGGGAGCAGGGGACAAGATGGAGTCAATACTGTGACGCATACAGACATTCCTGGTTCCGTGACTAAGTTCCATTCCTGCAACTAGGTTGTTACTGGAATTGGTCACTAATTGAGGAACTGTATGTAGTATTGTATGTCTATGACAGTGTTCAGAATAAAGAAATGGTCAAAGAAAGCTCCAGCTCCATGACTTTGCTTTTGTTTGCATAACTCTTACATGCGGTACTGTAACATACAACAGAACAAAAAACTACAGTACAGTACAACCAGCAAAAGTACAGTATGGCATAAACAAGGTGTACTGTACCAAAAAAGACACTGAAGCTCTATAAATAAGATGTAAGGAGCTGTACAAAAAACATATACAGGTCATAAAACCAAGTGGTGGGTTGTAATTTCAAACATTACACACTTCTCAGTAAGTCTGTGGTGGTGTTAAACAGATCCTTAAACCAGGGATATCTGTATTTAATATACCCATACATTTGAATAAACAGAAACAATTGTTTTCATGATACAAATATGAGCTTTAGGATTATTTTTACTTACAGTCTGAGAGGTCTGGAAGAGGGAATAAACATTCCAAGTCCATCTCAAAGAAGAGGGCTGCGCCAGAAAGTGTCCAGACCCTTTCCACACTGCAGACTCTGCCACACTTCTGTCTCAGTTCAGCACCCTCCTCAGTCATCAGAACCATCCATGTCCCACACAGGACTGTGTGGATGAGCTAAGCACTTGGGCCTGGGAGCCAGACTAGCTGGACTCAGACCTCAGTTCCATCCCATTCCATACTAGCTCTGTGTACCTTGGCAAGTTACTTAATTTACAGTTAACTCTTGCAACTCGGTATTCCAGGGTCTCTGAGCCTGTGCTCTGGAGCCAGCAGTGTAGGATGGAAGCCGACTTGTGCAGCCTTGGGCAAGGTTCCTCATCCTCTCTGGGCCTCAGTTTCTCTCTGTAGACCAGAGATGATAATAACACTCCCACCATTAGAGCTGCTGTGAGAATTGTAATACTATGTGTAGGTGTGTGTGTGAGAGTATAAATGTATGCACAGCCATTCATTGGTATCCGTAGGCCTCCTCTCCCCTGCAGCTACCCAAATGAATACTCAAGTCCCTTACATAAAACGGGGCTGGGTGTGGTGGCATATGCCTGTTTGCTTGAGCCTAGGAGTTCAAGACCAACCTGGGCAACATAGGGAAACTCTTGTCTTATAAACAAACAAAATGGGGTAATATTTGTATGAAACCTATGCAAATCCTGTATACTTTATGTCACTTTTAGTTTATTTGTAATGTTTAATACAATGCAAATGCTATATAAATAATTGTTAAACTGTACTGTATAGAAAATAATGGCAAGCAGAAAGGTCTTCCCATATTCAGTATACACGTGACGTTTTTTCTTGGTCTGTGATTGGTTAAGTTTGGTGGATGTAGAAGGGCCATGAATACAGAAATCCAACTGTACTTATAAGCACTTGCTGTTACTATTGTTAATATTTTTAAAAGTTAAGGCTAATTTATATGTATTGAAAACAAGTCGATGTAAAATTGTTAAGGAAATCATAATGCTGGTAAAAATGTCTCTTATTGACTTTTTTTTTTTTTTGAGCCTGGATCTCACTGTGCAGTTCAGACTGCATTTGAGTTCACTTTGTAGCCCAGGCTGGTCTTGAACTCTCTAGATCCTTCTGCCTCAACATTCCAAAGTGCTGGGATTACAGGCATGCGCCACCACGCCCAGCTTCTTATTGGCTTTTTGAATCTCATTTTTGTTGTTGTTGTTTATTTGTTGGTTGGTTGGTTCTTTGAGGCAGGGTCTCACTATGCAGTTCAGGCTGACCTTGAACTCAGCAATCCTTCTGCCTCAGCCTCCTAAGTGCTGGGGTCACAAGTGTGCACCACTGCACTCGGCTTGGATCTCCCTTTGGTGTTTCTTTTATTTACAGGATTTTCTATCAGATATTGCATGGGAAACCAGCTCTTTAAGGCCTTGCTGAATTAATCTTGAATGTTTCTATTATTCCATTTTAAGAATTACACTTGGAGGCTGGGGATTTAGTTCAATGACATAAGCGCCTGCTCGGCAAGCATGAAGTTGTAAGTTTGATACCCAGTATCACAACAACAACAACAACAAAAGAATTACACTTGGGAAGATTCCAAGCCTTCTTCCCTCTAGGAGGGGCAGATATCTATTATTGAACAGGTCAGCGGTTCTCTGAGTGTGGCTCCTGGACCAGGAGACAGCATCATCTGGGAACTTACTGGAATTCAAATCCTTTCTTCCACTGCAGCCCTACTGAATGGGAAGTGTGGAGAGAGCCTGGCAGTTTGTGTTCTGACCAGCCCTCCAAGTGCAATGGTTTGAGAGTCCCTGTCATGAAAGAAGAGTGGGCCCAGTGATGGTTAACTCGATGCATCCCTTCCAGTTGGCTGAGGGACACTCAGAGAGCATGAGTGTCTTTAGTTGCACTGTTATGTTGGTCTCAGTGTCCTGAGTTGATCAAAAGTGTTTCCCTTTCATGGTCATTTGACTTTGGGGAAGAGCCGGAAGTCATATGAAGTCAGAGCGGCTGAGTAAGGTGGATGAGTACACACCAACGTATTTTTACAAGCCTGCTTTTCCATTGGATGGTCCTTGGCAGCAGCACTCATTGTATATTTTTTTAGAATTACACCTCATAAAGACAAAACTGCTTCAGAAAGTGGCAAGAACAATGCAATTAGTGTGTTTAAAGCATGGGTGGGACATATTTTGAGAGGGATTAATGGCAGTGTCTTTTACTGTAATGCATTTATAAAAATACAAACATTCACTGTAAACTTTGATCATACCTCATATTGACTTTTCTGAGTTTCCAGCTTGCAATCATGAGACTTTTCAGCCTCCATAATTGCATAATGTGTATCTATATCCTCATCTATACCTATATGGAAGAGAAAAGCAGAGTTGCGTAATGCAAAATAAATCCTCAGTCCTTTTCTCTCTCCATATTGTTCTCATGCTCTTTCTCTCTCTGTCTGTGTACTACTGCTTCGGTTTCTCTAGATGCTTCTGAGTTATACATGGTTGTTTGGCATTTTTCAAGGTCACAGTCCTGTTCTGGATACTTGGTGTTTGCATGAAACCACAAGGCTAGATGTGAACCTAGGCAGCAAAGGTAGGAGGGGCTTGTCACATCGATCCTTTTGACCTGTGTGCCCTCCTGACACTTCTTCAGAGCTCAGGATATCAGGCTGTGTGCTTGGGGAGCTTTCCTGACTGGCTGTGAGATCCAGGGAAGTCATTTTGCCTCTCAAGGCAAGATGTTCCTCTGCTGTGAATTGTAACCAGACCAACTCTACAGAAGTGATTCTCAACCTCTTTCCAGGGGCCATACAAGGGACAAAATGTGTTCTCATGCTGGACAAACTCCCAAAGCATTCCAGCCTCATGTCCTGTTCCACTCCTCATCTGGAGACTGTCATTTGGGAAATTACTTGAAATTCAAATCATGTCCCCCAACCCCAGACCTGCTGATAGCCTAAAGTCAGAAGCAACACCGGCAAAAGAGATGTCTGCCTGCCTGCCTGCTGGCCATGACCTACACTGTCCCCTGTGCCCCAACTCCCCCCACCCCCGGTCCAATCTCTCCAGCCGTGTCTCTCTGGTTCTGTTCTCTTTTTGTGATCTCTCCCCTCCCCAGTCTGTCAGTGCCTTGGCAGGGAATTTATTGTTTCTTGATTCTTTCTATTCTTGCCACCAACAATACTTTACCATAGTGTAACTATGGGAGTCCACTAGATTCTCATTTTTTATTGAGGAGAGAAGTGTTCATTTCCAGAAGTAAGTCCTCAGGCTCGTCCAGAGCTTGGGCTGCCTCTGGCTTATTTGGCTCTGCCCCAGACTCTTACAGTGAGACGACCTATGTCACTGCAAAAAGGCAATAGTTGATTACTTTCATGAGAGAATCTGAAAAGTCTCAGCTCTTCCTCAGAATTGATTCCATCAGACTAAGATATTGTTTCCCAAACACAGACCTAGTACTCTGTCCCAGTGTTCTTTGTGTGTGGGAGTGGGGAAGGAGGAGGTTTGAACCTAGAGCCTTTGCACTGAGCCACATATCCAGTCTTTTTATTCTTTATTTTGAGACAAACTCTCTCCCTAAATCTCTAAGTTTCCAGGCTCTGTTCCAACTCTCTAACTTCCAGCTTCAGCTTCCTGACCAGCTGGGATTATAAGTACGTGCCACAGTGACCAGAAACCAGTGTTTATTTTGGCTCTCAAATTTAGGTACGTGGAGAGAAGCTCTAAAGGGCCATGTAGAGCTGTGGTGCAGGAAACCACCACTGGCCACCTTGGCCCCAGCTTCCCAGGGCCCTCACTTCTGGGTGGGAGTGAACAGGTCATCTAGCTTCTTGTGCTACTGTCCCTGGGAAAGGGAGAAAGGGAGGCAATGATAGCACTGGACTCATGAGGTTTAGAGAAGATTGAATGCATCAATACGTTTAAAGCTCTGGGAACAGAGTCACAGTCTTGTGAATTTGTCCTTGTCTGCCTGTTCTGGGCTCCTTGATGTTCTAGTGTGATCCCATCACTTATTACACCTCTGACTACTTTTATTTGCTGTCTCCTCTTCTAGGTCTCAGTTTTTATCCTGACCCCAGTGTGCAGGTACAGACCCATCAGGTATGTCTGGGGGTGGACCTTTTCTCCACTGGGAAAAGGTTGACTGGTTCCTGGGCTACCCAGCTGTGCTGTCAGGGGTGTTAAATGCCATGCCCATCTTCCCTGTTCTCTTTTGCAGTGCACCTGGCCTCTGGCCACTTCTCTCCCACACACCTATGAACATGCAATGGTTGTAACTGTCATGTCCAACCTCATGGAGCTTTTTGCTTTTGCTTGAAGTGCCCTTACACCAGGCCCCATGTGGCTGTCTCTCTGTCATTATTCCCGTGTCTCCTTGACATTGCATCCTTGGCCATTTCTCCTAATGTAACTCTCTCTCATCCTCATTATAGTACTCAGTTTTGTCTCCTTCACTGTACTTTATTAAATCTGAGTTGTTTGTGGTTAACATTTTTTTTTGCCAATAGTCCCTTGGTGATTCGAGCAAGGGGATCAAGATTCTCTTTGTATCACAGACTTGGTTTTATGGTGCTCTGGTAAAACCCTTTTGTTGTGCCTAACAAAAAGAAGTACACATAAGATAGTTTTGCAAATTAACCAACAAATCATTTTTTATTTGCTACTTCATATCACCCCTTGGCCCAGAAAGAGGGAGGAGGAAGCCACTTACATGATCCAAACAACAGTCTTAAGTCTCTTGGGCCTTTTATTTGTTTGATCAAACAGTAATTATCTTAAGTGCTTCTTGTTTCTGGGCAGTCCAAATGCCAGGCCCAATGACCAGAATTCCTCCAACCCTGGTGCCCACCTAGAAGATGACTTGCATGAGAACTGCAGCTTCTCCTACCATTGTATTCTCAGGCCTGGCACAGAGCAGGTGCTCAATAAATCCAGTTGGTGCAGGGAGAAATGACAGGCAAATAAAGATGCCGGCAGGTGTCTGTATATGTGGACAAAGGAAGTGTCTTTGTCTTTCTGAACCTCTGCCAAGAGAGCCTTTTGGGAGACATAGCAGAGTGACTTAGAGCAGATGGAACATTTAAAATAATGTCAGGATTATAGTAAGCTCTATTTCCTGTTCTCCCAGAGCCAAGGCAGAGGCACCAGCAGATTCATTTTCCTTGGCATTTAGTGATCCTTGCACCACACTCAGATGCTGTGGGACAAAATTCTCACCAAAAGGGAAGTCGGTGGGTCTCTTCGTTGTAAAGCTAAGCCCACAGCATTGCCAGTCCCAGAGACAAGATGCAGGTGAGTAGAGCACATACTCAGGAGAAAGAAGCCAGACAGCCCAAGGCACAGCCCGGAGTCCTGTGACTCTGCCTGACCACCTTAAATAGTGGCAAATGCTGTAGCAGGAGGTTGTGGGTGGAGCATGCAGGGCTACTTTCTTCCCAGGAGGATACACATGGCCAAGATGTTGGCAGGGGACAGATGGCATCAACAGGATACAGGGGAAGAGAACTGTCCATTCAAAGACCATTGATACCTTCCGGATTGCATCATCAACCTTCTTGGCACAAACAACAGACCCCCTCCCAGCCTGGTTAAGCAGAAAAAGAATTGTTTTTAGAGCAATCTTCAGGATGGCCAGAGAACCCGGCTTGGAGATTATACTTGGGTTACACCCTGGAGTCACCGCTGCCTGTACCCCCCAGGACACTGCCACCCTCTCCAGAATGGTCCCCTGGTTCCCCATCACAGCTCCCGCTGGGCATGGTAACTAGCAGCACCTCATTCACAGACTGCACCCAAGGTGGGAGAGGACTCTGGAAAAGCAAGTTTCGGTCTACCTTCGAGAGATGCAGACTCACAAGCGTGGTGTCTAGATATGCTGAGTGACCAAAATGGATGACAGAAGTCCCTGGAAGAAAAGGAACTGTCCACAGCTTTCCTAAATGCAAGTCTTCCAGCCTCCAGATCCTGGAGATGTGGCCACTGCCTGGCTCTGCATGTTTGTTGGGCCCCTCTGTCTCTAGCCCTAACCCTTGCCTGCCAGAATGTGAGAGAAACCACTGAACTTATGATTCAGGTAGGCTTGTACCTGCTCTAATTTATTTTTTAAAATTGTAAAACAATAAATTCAAGTATATATTCATTACTCATAACAAATTCTCTAAAATATATTTGTCTTAGCCGACTCTGAGTGGCAGTGACCTTTTCAAAGTGAAATAAATAACATAAAGAGAATTGAGACGAAGTGACTTTACGAATGGCCAGATCAGGTGCCCAAATGCAACTATCAGTCAGTCATCTTCATCTCTGCACTGCTTTCCTACAGTGGCTTTGTGCCAGGCGTGATCTCTCTAAGTGGTGGCAAAGGTGACTCCCAGAGACTCCAGGATTACATTCTGCTGTTCTAACCTTCCCATGGATTGGTAGGAGTTATTCCGGAAAACATTGACTCTAGATGGATCGGCTTTGGCATGAGCCCAAGGAGAGGGTCACATGTTCTGCCCTGCAACTGGGTGGGTACTCCCTCCCCCACCCAGCACCATGCCACATGATCAGAGAGAGAGAAAAAGTGGTTGGCTAGAGGAAAATTGGAAGGAGGAGGAATGAATGCTGGGCGGGCACAGCCCTAGGTACCCACTCACAGTAGCCTGGGCAGTGCTGTACCATTGGCTTGCTGGGAGCCAGGATATTTCTCTGCTCTGGTAAGGATGACCAACTCTTCTTGATGCCTCCTAATCACTGTACAAACACATCTGCTAGTCCCTGTTCATTTTTCTTGACCTTTATTATTCTGGCTTCCTTTTATTACTGGATGCAGCAGGATGAACCCATGGCCACTTGGATCTCTCAGCCTTTGCCTTTCCTGGAAGCTCAGTGGTTGGGAATCTAGCTTCATCCCATCCCCAAGCAGACGGCCCCATGAGACCCGCCCACAGTGGATACTTGGGAGCTTATGGAATAAAGCAAGATTCAGACATCTTTGCAACCTCAAGGTCTCCCAGGAGCCAAGAACCTTAATTCTTGAGCTTGATGTGTGTCCAAGAGAAAGGTCAAGAGTTGAGTTCTTCCTCAGGCCTCTCTGACCTCTGGGTTTCCCCAAAATCCTATTCCTACGATTTGAATTATTTTCCTCTAGGTCGCAGGCTGTGATTATTCCTTCAGCATTGCTCTGCTTTTGTAATCCAGGCATCCTGCTTTATGTCCTCTGGCTGATTTTTCCCAATGAACTTGCCTGCTGCCTGTTTTTCCCTGCAGGCCCATCCTGGCCCCTGCTGCTCTTCTTGTACGCTCAGTGTCGCCTCTTCAGGATCCAGCGAGGCTTACTCATATTCAACCTTGCCTCACAAAGCCTCCCGGAAACCTAACACACATGAGTTCCTGAGGAGAAAGAGGGGCCACTTGTTCAAATGCCCACAGATGGTCCTCACCTAGTCCCTTGCTGCCCAGAGGAAAGGGTCTCTGGTTCTGCCTCCTGTGATGGCTTCTTCTCTGTATCCTCTGCCTCAGCGCTTGTCTGCTTATTCTCACCTGCTCTGTCCTAAGCCATATAAATGAACAGAGGCCTCAGTTCTCTTGGAAACTATCTGATACAGACACATGTGAGTGCAACAGACACTGCACTCCACAAGGAATCTATCTTGTCTTGACCCATGTCACACAACCCAGGTCACAGTGGCTTCACTCTCATTGCCATGAAGCAGAAAGCTTGACTACCATCTCTAGAATCTTAGTTTCTGCTGTGCTCCATTTTAAATCTGCACTCCATCCAGGACCAAGACTTCCTAGCTCTCCTGAGGATCATTTCTCTCTGGTGTACCCCACCTTTCTGTATAAATGGTTGGGTAGGGTAGAAAATACCCTCTCTTTGGGTTTAGTTGTATCATTTTCCCTTAATGCTTTTCTCAAATGTTCATGACAGTCTGCATTTGATTAAGAAAGGAATGGACTGGGGAGATGGAACCACTCTTTCTTTGCTCCTTGAAATTCTGAAAAGTCCACCTGTCCTCACTTTGTCCCACCGCAGTCCATGTACACAGCTGCTACAAATGCCAATCTATACATTACTTTAAGGTTCTCAGGCTTCTTTTGGACTTTTTTTCCTGATGCAGGCAAGATGTGCCTGGTCGTATCCCTACCACTTATTAGTGTCAGTAGCAAGACTGGGAGTTATGAGGGAAGCTGATGAGTGGGCTGGTGTGGTTTGCACAGATGGGTTCTTTTAAAAAGAGCTGGGTTTATGCTGTCACTTTGCAGATCACCTCAGCAGCTTCCACTAAAAATGAAAATAACATGCCATGCCACCCAGGAGAAGACCTCTCCCACGTGTACAAATACCCAGTGATGGTCAAAGCAGCCTTGATATGCTGAAGCACTCACCAATGATTGTGTTTTACTTGGTCCTACATGTGTGGCATAAATAATGTCTTGGTTACTTTTCTCTCATTGCTGGGACAAAATATCTGACACCCAAAGGTAAAGAGGGAAAGATTTATTTAGCTCACAGTTTGTGGCGGTTTCAGTCCATAATCCACTGGCTCCAAGGCAGGGTGGCATGGCACAGGGGCAACAGGTCAGGCAGCAGAAGACAGAAAAAGCAACAAGAGCACAAGAGAGGAACAGCGAATCTCTTCGGCTCCCTTATATTGTAAGTGGGCTACCCACCATTGGGTGTGTGTAGCCTTCACAGCATCTAGGTGCCCTCCTCTGAACCAGGCTCAGGATGTTTACCAAGTGAGGACTCTGGCCCCCTGCTGAGTCACTTAATTAAACTTCTAGACTTTTCAAGCTGACACACTGTATAAACCAATACAAATAGTTTACAAAGAAAATAACAAGTCCAAAACATCACAGAGAAATTGTCTTAAAGGATTGGGACAGGAGCTCATAAGAGATCATATACCACAGAGGAAAGACAAAAGGTTTATACCCTGGGAATTATACAAAAAAATTATAGAGCACACTAGTGAGCCAATAGGTGAACAGCCAGGTGCAGGATCACAAAGACCTACTGCAACAACAGGAAAATAAAAAAGATGCCAATTGTGCCCTAGAATAAAGCACAGGAGAACAAAACGTACATGTGACCAGTGCAAGCATTCAGTTGTGCGGGCAGCATGCAGTTGTCCTGTGTGAAGACCACCTTGAGTGTGACAGTTGATGCAAAGCTCATTTCTGTAGCAGATTTTTGTTTGTGTTTACATTGTAGTTCACATAGATTTTGACTCTTGATGCTATCTTTTTGGATTTGTAAGAAAGTAAAGAGCTCGGAATTGTTGACGTCTATTTCAAATGCACAGTATGTACTGAGAATTTAACAATTTACTTTATGGATGTCTTATGTTCCTGTTTACTGCACATTGCATAATATAATAAGAACCTCTTGACAAAACAGAAGGACAAGCAAGATGTCAGATATGTCCTACAAAAAGGCCAGGAAAACAAAAGACATGTGCTGTCAGGGCAAGGGATATGAAATATGGAATGTGACATTGTGTGTGCAGACTGCCTCTGGTGTGATCATTAAAGATTTTTTTGAAGAGTGCTATTGGTGCTTTTATTACACTTCTATGAGAACTTACTTCTGATATTTTTATTTAGACTTGTACACCAAAATCAGTTGATGTTGACAATTTTGATGCTTTTTTATAAATGCTCAATAAAAAATTAATGCTGTGTTTATTTTTTCTGATTAAGTACTAATTGTTAAATATGAAAAATTTTATAAAATTAAAAGAAATAATTCATCAACAAAAAGATTCTAAAGAATTTTCTAAAGGATATATGCACATTGATGACAAAATTAACCTTATGCTTCAGGAGCTGGGAAGGAAATGGTACACACCCCAAGGACTAAAAGGAAGATAGCGCTTGAGGGATGACCTGGGGTTGAGCCGCTTACACCTCTTCACTTCTTTCTCTGGGGAACTCACTGCAGTTTGGATCACAGGCCCCTTTTTGAAGTTCCCCACCCTGCAAAGATGACACCAAGCTGGCTCATCTAACCCTCCTGTGAAGCTGGCACGGGCCACACCTGAGCCTCCCATTCCCTCTCCTAGTGGCTGGTTCTTTGGCTTTTCGCTCTGCCAAAAGTAAGTCCTGCCAGTTCTGTAGCCTCTGTAGCTCTCTACCAAAGGCTTTGTACACAGCTGAGGTAGGAGAAATAGAAAATCAAGGTGTCGATGCACATGTTCAGAGTACTCAGCAACACTGCGCATGACTGCCAGTTTTGACTGCTCTCCTGGAAGACCCTACCACATGAGACACACTGTAGGGCCCACAACAGGGCACGAAATGGGAGAAAGTCATAGCAGCCAGTGACTCTCCAGTGCCTCCTGGTCCCTAGTTGGGGCTGGGAGAGCATGAACCTCACAAAGGGCCAATAGGAGAAGATGATGATCACCCCCATGGGGGATGACAAAGAGAACCAGGGCAGCTGCAGCCATACGGGCAGCACCAACCTAAGCTGCTCTGGTGTGAAGTCCTCATAGCAGACAAGGAAGCTGTTGGCATTCCTCACGGCATTGGTCCATAAATACTGGACAACGATCACAATGCTGCAATGCATGAAGGACAAGACCTCAGAGACCACAGCACTGCTCACTACATACAGACACCAGTGCCAGAGCTTGTACTGTACACTGCAGTAACACTTGAAGCTGATGCCCGCCAGGAGCCATATGCTGCAGTAGATGCATCTGTGGAGGCCACAGCAGTGAGTGCACACAGGATGTCCTCTAGGTGGCACAGGATATCCTGTAGGTGCCTCAAGAAATTTTAGGTGGCCTCAGTCATCTTGAAGGGCAGCAGGAGGTGGAAGTCTGCCAGGATCAGGCTGCACAAAAGGATAGGCATGGGTGCAGGTTAGGATTGGCAGAGCCACCCCACAAAGGCCCCCAGGCCAGAAAAGCCAATGGGAAAAGATACCAGGTAAATGGAGAGAAGTCCTGTGCTCTGGGGCTGGGGCCTTCTTTCCTGTAGACACAGAAGATGGAATCAGACTGCTAACTGTGGGTTTCCCAGGGCCAAAGCCAAGTCAATCCATTCTCAATTCCACTGTAGTTTCTGCTTCACACAATACTTGCTGCTAATCCTTCAAACTGAGCACTCTTCTGCTTCCTGTGGGCCTGGAGAGAAATGACCTTCCTGCTGACCCACCAATTATTCTTTCGCACACTTCTCCATTTCCTCATCCCCTATCCCAGAAAGTTTGCAGATGTCCACAGCTCCACTAGAAAAGCACTGACATGGTCTTCTTGCTCATCATTGTGTCTTTACTAGCTAGAACTGTGTCCGACACATAGTGGTGCTTAGCAGACACCAGGGGATGGAGGAGAGGAATTATGAGAGATGACAAGGAAGAGCTTCTTCATCATGAGGGAGTAAGACAAGGCCATCGGAATTCCACTCCAAGTTCTACAAGGACAGCTGCTGTTTTTGTCTCCTTATCTTTGCCTCCTCTCTCTCTCTCTTTCTCTCTCTCCCCAAATCATTGTGCTTGAACACAAGATCCTTTACCTGTACTCCTGAAATCACAGATTTGTTATGGAAAAGCAGGATAAGCCACAGGTGAACCTCACATGTGCACTTCTTGACTCCAGGCTAAGCTTTTAAAGGAGACATCTGGGTTTGGGAGGGAAATGAAAAAGGTCTTGGGACTCCAGGTGCAGCCACGTGACTGCAGGAACAATCACTCCCACCTCACTCAGTGTCGCCTTCACTTCTCTGGAGCACATCTAACCAGTGATTTCTCTGGAAGTCCCACCACTCCCACTGTGCCCCTTGCAGACACATTTCTCACCCCTAGACAAAGCATGCGTCCAGAAGACAGAAGCAAACCGAGAGTGTTATGGATTGAGAACTGGTGGTCAACTTAATGCCAGCTGGATTACATCAGCCTGCATTGAGTGAAGATGCTCCACCTGAGGAGGGTTGCCAAGATAAATAGGTGGAGAAGAAGAGAGGTGTTGAGAGGGTTGAGGCATTAAGGAGGCATTGTGTGTCCTGCTACAAGTTGCTGTCTGAGCTGTTGGTTCTGGAGAAGCTTTGGTCCTCACATCTAGCCTTGCTTTCTGGCTCCAGAGGGGAAGACATGTGCTGCTTGGTCTCCAGGATGAACTTGTCATGCTGCTTCCTGGCACGTACCCAACTGTGCTTGTTGTCTGAGGAGCTCGGGGCCTCCGTGTCACTGAGGATGGCCTGGTCTTTGTTGTGATTGTGACTTCTCAGCTCCAGCATAGAACACTCATCCCACTAGCACAGTTCCGTCATCCCGCTGGCATAGACTTTCTGGCTCCCACCGCTGACCCTTGGGTCTTCCTGGCACGGATCCACAAAAGAGACTGGCATGAGTCCTTCTTGTGGGCTCTGGGCCTCCAGTTGGACTCGTGGGAGGCAGTGTCCTGTGCTCTAGATTTTAATCTGGACTCATGTGGGACATTACCCTGAGGTTTAGGCTCTTGACTAAATAATCTATGTCTTTGGTGTTGTGAATAGATTTCCTGCATTTTCCTGTGTTAACTTTTGGTGACCATTATAAAAATATTATAAACTCCATGTCTACTCCTAATAGTTCTCCATGTACAACCGCTGACTACAACAGAGAATAACCTTAGAGCTCCTCTAAGCTATCACTCAAGGTTGGCATTTAAGAGAAAAATAAGAGGCTGGGGCTGTAATGCAGGGGTACAGTGCACATTCAACATGGATAAGGCTCTGGGTACAATCTCATCAATCATTCAATCAATCAATCAATCAAACTTGAGTTTGAAAACTTTTTGTGATAACATAATCCTATTTATACCATTCAACACTTGTGAATATCAGAATAAAGGGGCAGGTGGATGGAGATTCCCAGCCTCAGTGGGGTTGTTTGTTCCCTTGAGCTTTTACTTTGTCCCCTCAAGTGCACACTAGCACCATCTCCAACTTGCCCTGGGCCCTTCCCGAGTCCTGTCCATATTCTGCCCTCTCCTCATAAGGCCAATCATGTACCTTCTTTCTGTCTCATCTTTGTAGGGCTGCAACCTCAGTGACCTCTTCCCTGGGCCCCTGTTTTTGTCTTTTCCTGGAGGCAGACAGATGCTTCTCAAATATGCTGGATTTTGCCAGGAATGATGCAGCTCACCTGTAATCTTTTCATCCTGGGAGCCCGAGGCAAGAGGATTACAGATTGCATCCTAGCCTGGGCAGTTTAGCAATTCACCAAGACCCTGTCTCAAAATTAAAAAATTAAATAAAAAAGAGCTTCGCTTGTAGCTCAGAACAAAATCTCTGAATTCATTCTCCAACAGCAACAACAAAGAATCTCACAAGCAGGAGAAATGTTCTAAAAGGACCACCTATTTCTCTTGACCAAACAGCAGGATTTTATACCTGGGGAGTCCAAAAGAGGAAGGTTAACGGGTGAGCTCTTTCCAAGGCAGCTTGACCTCCCCGTCTCCTACTAGATTCCGTCCCCAGCAAACATATTTCTCTCAGAACCCAAATCTTAACTGTTCTTAGGCTCCCTTCTCTCTCTGCATTCCATATCCTTTCTCTGGGCAATTATTCCATGTTATTCTGCACAAGCAGCCACTTCTTGCTCCTCCGTGCTCTAGCTGCATCTGCTCCTCTCTCCCCATCTCTTCTCTGGACACCGCTGACTTGCTCAGTTTCCTGTCTCTTGCCAGGAGGCTGCAGCTGAAGTTGGTTAGAACTGTTAGTACTGTTTGATTTCCTCTGGCCCCTCGAATCCCTTCTTACAAATGTTCCCACCACTATCCTGAGTCTAAGTTCCTTCAAGGGTGAGCTGGGTTCTGAGCTTTTCTTTCATTCATCTGCTCCCACTGGGCTGTGCCCTAGCTGGGCCACCCTCTTCTCACTCTTGTTCTGTTGCCCTGTCCATGTTGCTTGCTGTTGGTGCTTTGACGTACCCACAGGAAATTAGTCACTCACACAGATGCTTTGTCTCTGCTCGGGGGTTTTGTGTGACTTGACACTAGTTGTCTGACCCTGTCAGCTGATACTCTCCTTTTTCTCTCTGTCCTAGGAAAGGTGACTCACAGCCATATTCTCTCCCAGTAATCATCTCTTGTCATTCAGCTCTTCACTCCCCAGTCCCCACTTTTTTTATCCTGGATCCAAGTAGTCTCTGCACATTCTGGATTTCCTACCCCCACAAAGCTGCACGATTGGGACAGTGCAGGCAGAGGGGCAGCAAGCTCTGAGTTCAGGCTGAGTATGTTCAAGACAGCTGAGGAGGTCAGAGTGACTGCAAGAGGCCCAACTAAGCTCAGAGCCGTGGCAATGAGGTGAGGCAGTTGGCACATTCGAGAACCTGTGCCTGTGGTCAGGATGCAAAAAGACATCTGGGTTACAACTGGAAGCCCCTGGATGGCAGGGATGTGATGTAATATTTCACGTTTCCAAAGATCACTCTGAGTGCTGAGTGAGGAGGAAGCTGGGGCAAGAAATAACTAAGAAACTGTTCTCTAGCTTTTTCTAAGAAAGGGCTCATGTAACCTTTTGCACTGTGAAAAGAAATTTCTAAGTACATGTGTGT